CGGGGGAGGGGGGGGGGGTTAAATATGTTTAGTTTTTATGGAAACATTGCAGTAGACACTATTACAGTATTTATGCAACAGGCATATAAACCCTTTATATTGCAGTGTGCAGAGTTCCAATCTGAATCCTTTAAGTATACACTGTAAAATCCAATAGCTGCCCTGACATACAAACATTAGTTAACTTGACTTGGTTACCAACAATATGCACTTATGACTGGTATTTATGAAGTAACAGTTACTTGCATGGTGAAAAACTCAAAATACTTTAGACTGAAGATTACTTTATTTAGAGTTAAGCTCACTCACAACAATAAGTAGTTAACACAGTCTCAGTCCCACTGCGCAGAAGAAGAAGTGTGCATGCGCAGTAGCAGCATTCAGTCTCTCCCGCTCAGCAATGCACCAACACACCACACACATTCTTTTGAAGAATAATTAGGTAAGTTATCGAGCAAGTTTGTCTGTTAATATGTTTTGATTAACGTTCGCTAGCTAACGAACCCAACAGGCATAAGGTTAGCCTGTTCAGGCCAAGGTTAAGGCCAGTTTGGGCGGTTTCCCACCATAGTCTTGTGATTATCTTAAAAACCCTTTAACAGTTCCAAAGCCTAGTTACTTTGAAAGTCCCACATTTGAAATGTTGTAGCATGAGTTTTCCGTTTTCCCCAAGTTGACAGCGAAGGCATTTTGGCCGGACTTTCAAATTTGCAACGTGGAAATTACGATTTTCAGTGAACGCAGCATGAATGTGTTTGATGCAGAGACAAGGTTAAATGAGGTTCGTAATGCACTGGCACTGTCTTTCCTTGGAGAAATGGTGAAGGCTGGCAAGAGGTTGCAGGATTCTGAGCGCTTTAAATTTCGTTGTACCTGTGACAATGACAATAAAGATCTATTCTATTCTATTCTATGAACCTTGTTTGAAATCAGTAATGTACGGAATCTTTACTGGAAACAAACTCTGGAAGACAAGAACTGCCATGACCATCCACCAGACTTTTATCGACAGCAAGACTGTTACAAAACAAATACTCACAGAACTCAGGAGGAGGAAAAACCTGGACAAAAACTTTCTCCTCCCATGGAACATTTTAAATATATAAATCAGCACCTGGGGAAAAAATGAACTCTCTGAATGAAATGAACTTTATAAATACACCTTATAAATGTTTTGCACTTTACAAGATTTTCCTGAAGCACTTTACAAAGATTTTATTGAAGCACTTTTCTTGTCTATGTAATCTATTATATGTGTAAACTGTAATAAAGTTGATTAAAAAGGCAAGAGGCTGCAGCTTGCTTACCAAGCTGCTTGCCTGTAAAGCTAACATTAGCTGTGAAGTTAAGAATACGTCACGCGAGTGAAAGCAACAGTTGAGGCGTGTACATTAAACCTTAGAGCTGCAGTAATTCAACACACAGCCAGTTATATTTACATGGACTAGGGGAGTCGTTTGCTCAGTGTTCATTTCAGGCACGGCACCAGGATTTTTTCTCTCCTGGTGCTAATGGGGAGCTTGACCGATACGTGGGGGGGCTAAGAAAATAATATATATATATATATTTTAAAATATAACAGGGCTATAGCACCCCCTAGCCCCGGTGTAGGACCGTACCTGGTTCATTTGACTCCAGTAGTGAGTCTGCAGAGAAGCTGTGGTTGTGCACCGGTCTGTACAGTGTGCGCCGATGAACGAGTCCTGTCCTTGTCCCTCTCCTGCTGATAAACTGTAAGTCACGTTAAGCGGCCAGTGACCAACAGTGAGTGAGATATCTGTTCATTCTTTATTTTGCAAGGAAGAAAAAATCCCCTCTTAATCTCCAGGAGGTTTACTGTACGAGCAAACATTTGTTTCAGTGTCAGATGTTGGTAACTTGTTTGACTTGTGTAAATTGCTCAGGAAGCATGACAGGAGCCAAGTAGCTGGGAAATGCTTGCTATCCAAATCTTGCATCCTTCTATGGGTTCCCTTGTTCATGTTGTAACTTCTCTTGATTTGAAGATGACCTGATTTGAAAGTGACTCAAATATAAACACAGATTATCCCAAGATTTGACACACACGGAGTTTAAGAAAATGTGTTCATTGTCAGAGCTCCATGTGCCATGATAGTTAATTGTTAATATTAAATTTTGCAGTTTCCTTGAAGTACTTAAAACACAGTCGCACTTTTTGGGTCTCAGTTGTTTTCAAGGTGCAATTTTGACTGTCAAAAAGTATTTTTAAATCATGAACCTCCACCTCTGATATTCAAAAAGAAATCTTAAGACATCTTTTTAGCCTGAATTTTAAGCAAGGTGCCTCCATTATTAGTTGATTTATATAATGCTATCTTTATTTTTTGTGCCCTTGCTCACCTGTGCTTTTTGTTTTTGTTGCAGTGTCTTTCTATCATGTGCAGTACATTTGGGTGTATAAGTGTGCTATATACATTAAGATTGATTAATTACATGAAATTAAAATGTTACATTTTACATTTTCATATTCATCCATCCGCTCCCATTCTAAGCTGCTGTGCCAATGTGAGGACAGAGAGAACAACTGCGTAATAGGAACGGGAAAAAAATCTAATTAATTATTTTCGATCAAAAATATTAGGAAACTATAACCCCAGGTTGTAATTGCCTGAAATTGTACTTTATAACTAGAAAATTCCTAAAGAAATTTTGAGTGTTCCTGCCTCTGGCCCGTATATTAATAC